TTAAGAATCTTTTGCTTTCTATATGCATGATGTCTTTGATGTGATCCTGCAACTGGTCTGGTCTTTGGACAGTAGCGTTCAATATATCAAATATATCCTTGAGATGATCTCTAAATTCATACTCAAGGTCATATTTTGACTCACATGGATTTGTTTTCATTTTCTTTAGCTTCAACTTGAACTTTCACATGTGCAATTGATGATCTGTCCCACAATCAGCCCCTGGCCCTGTTCTGACAGGTGCTACCAAGCTTCTGCATCATCTATTTCCATAAATGTAGTTGATTTGATTCCTGTGTATTTCACTCAGAAAGACCCATATGTTTAGTCATCAGTTATGTTGTTGAAAAAGTGGTGCTTCTGGAAACCCTGGTGTGGCCCTGTTGGTGAATGCGCTGGACAGCAAAGTTGATTTGAACTGCAAAGTCAGTGGTTCAAACTCACCAGCTGCTCCTTGGAAATCCTATACAAGGTTACTATGAGTCAGAACCCACTTGACAGCACTTAACAACAACACTGAAACCAGAGTGATCTTTCAAGTGGAAATTGCTATAATTTAATGAATTTGACCCTTACTTATGGATGTGGTAGCCCAAAATACCAACTGAGAGGGAAGGAGTCTTCATATCAAAGATCAAGCCTATCCCCTTACACAGAGTAAATAGGGATGGGCAACTTAGACATTGGCTATCTAAAATTGAGGGGGGGCTATAAAGGCATGAAGTGGTTGGCTTAAAAGTTTTAAAGAGGGAGTTTAGTTTCAGAGCAAGTGGGGGAAGGTGGAATCTCCATGGAATAGTTTTCATCTTATCTAGATGGGTATGGTGAAAGGAAAAGGGAATAGGATTTTTTTTTATCCAATAGTGAGTAGTTGTTATCATGACTAATTGCAATTGTCACAACTGTAAAGGTAGAAGTTATATAACAAAAAAGGGGGAGTAGTTAATCTTGCATTCCAGGGACAGAGGACCCTAGGACCATCAAGAAAGAAGAACAGGAATGGAACATGAGATCCTAACCAGAGAATAAGTGATGCCAAAGACAGAGACAGAGACAGAGGTGATACCAGGGAGAGACATAGCAGTTGAGGACTCTAGACTCAGGGCAAGAGAAAGGCTGTGTACTGGCAGGCCGGAGGCTGGCTTGCAAAATGTGCCCTTTGGTTATTTAAATGATTGTATATTCCTTCATGTTTTTGTGTACATCAAGGGAGACAGGGGAGGAAATAGAGGCAATACTGTTGGTCGGTGGTACATAGAGGGGATTTTAATCATTGCAATGAAGCAAAGTGGGATTGGTTGAGTGCAAAGCTGATTTTCTGCAATACCAACTATCATTTAATTCATAATAAAAGCTTTTAAAAAAAAAGTGCTTCTCATGAATAAGCCTTGCAAAATTCTATCATGCAATATCAGCATCACTAATATCAGATGGATCTTGACTGAAAGCAGAGAATACCAGAAAGATGTTTGTATGTGTTTTATTGACTATGCAAAGGTATTTGATTGGATGTATCATAACAAATTAAGGAGCTCTGGTAGCGTAGTGGTTATAAATTGGGCTGCTAACCTCAAGTTTGGCGGTTTGAAACTACCAGCTGTTATGCCAGAAAAAGATGAGGATTTCTGCTCCCATAAAGATTTACAGCCTTGGAAACCCTGTACAGGGTCACTATGAGTCAGAACCGACTCCATGGTACTTACCAACAACAATCATAACAAATTAGGAAAAACTGTGATGAATGGGAATTCCAGAACACTTAATTGTTCTCATAAGGGATCGATGCATCGACCAAGAGTCAGTCATTTTAACAGAACAAGAGGATAATGTGTGGTTTGAAATCAGAAAAGTTGTGTGAAACACTGAGACCGTGGCCCATAGAAACCCTACTATGGTTTCTCAGCCCTGTGACTCAACTTTCAGCCAAATGACAGGCCTATGAGGTGAACAATAACACAAGGAAGCTTCACCCTCCTTAGAACTATCAATTGTACAAAATCAAAAGGGCAAAACTTGCCTAGAGATAAATCGCAAAAGGCAGGACGGGATAGAAAAGGACAAATGGAAACAGTATACACAGGGAGAAAGTGAGAAGTGTGTTGTTTCATTGTGGGGATTGCAATCAATGTCACAAAATAAAATGTGTATGAATTGTTATGTGAAAAACCAATATTATCTGTAAACTTTCACCCAAATCACATACACACACAAAAAAATTTTTTTAAGAAAGAAAACGTGTGTATCAGGGTTATGTCTTTTTATCATGCTTCTTCCAATCTGTATGCTGAGCAAATAATATGAGAAGCCGGACTATATGAAGAAGAATGTGGCATGAGGATTTGAGGAAGGCAGCTTGCCTGAGATAGGCAGCTTGCCTGCTGAAAGTGATGAAGATCAAAGATTACAAACTTCAGTATGGATTACACCTCAATGTAAAGAAAGCAAAAATTCTCACACCTAAACCTATAAACATCATGATAAAAAATAAAAATAAAAATAAAAAAAACAGTAACAATAAAAAACAAAGTTGAAGTGGTCAAGGATTTCAATTTACTTGGATCCATGATAATGCCCATGGAAGCAGCAGTCAAGAAATCAAATGACATATTGCGTTGGGAAAATCCGCTGCAAATTTGTTAGAATTTTAAAATGTTAAGAAGCAAAGAAGTCTGATTGATGTTCTCCGATGTAAACTGTCACTCAATTCACAATTAAAAACTTTAAAAAAAAAAAAGCAAAGAAGTCACTTTGAGGGCTAAGGCACACCTGATCCAAGCCATGTTATTTTCAATCACCTCATATACTTGTGAAAGCTAGACAGTGAATAAGAATTTTTGAATTAGAAATCATGCATTTGAATTAGATGTCAGCACAGAATATTGAATAGACTATCAGAAAAAAACAAACCAATCAGTCTCGCAAGAAGCATATTCAAAGTGATTCTTAGGAGTAAACACGGCTAGACTTTGTCTCACTTAACTTTGAACATGTATTAGAAGGGACTAGTTCCTGGAGAATGATCTCATACTTGTTAAAGCAGAGGGTCAGAATAAAGGAGGGAGACCCTTAATGAGATGGACTGACAAGTTTTGTTTGGTTTGGTTTGGTTTTGTTGTACATAGGGTCTCTAAGGTTGAAACTGATTCAACAGCACCTAACAACAATAGCTGAAGTGTGCCAAAAATTGATAAAATATATCAATCCTCAGATTTAGGAAACATAAAAAGTCTCAGTCTTATGATATCCATACCCAGAACCGTCATAGAAAAGCAACAGAACACCAAAGATGATAGCAGCTGTCTCCAAAGCAACAATAAATCTAACCATTACTCAAATTAAGGCAAAATAAATACATTTTCCGAGAAACAAAGACTGAGAAAGGTGTAACTCACAGACCTTTGATGAAAAAACACAAAAGTATTAATTCAAGAAGGAAAAGAATCCAGAAAGAATAAGTGGAATTAAGAAGGAATGGTGAGCAAAGAAATTGGTAAACTATGGATACATATAAAAAAACAATAGTCCCCGAAGCATTTTCAATGATAGAAATAATGTTGTTGTTTTTCAGAGCCATCGAGTCGGTTCCAATTCATAGCTACCCTATATAGGATGGGTTTGAACCATCAACCTTGGGGTTAGAAGTCCAGTACTTACCCTACGCACCACACCAAGAGTCCTACAAAACTAATAATAATGACTAACTTAAGGAATGGTAATCTTGGAGTCCTGTAATTTAACAACAATAATGTCTTATGATGTTGATGTCTTATGATTCCAGGTGCTCATTTTCCATCTGTATGTCTTCTATGAGTCCTGGTATGGTGCTGTGGGCTAATACGCCAGCCTGCAAAGTCGTTTGAACTGCAAGGTCGGTGGTTCAAGCTCACCAGCTGCTCCTTGGAAACCCTATACAGGGTCACTATGGGTCGGAATCTACTCGATGGTACTTAACATCAATAACAACAACAGTGTCTTCTTGGTGAAGTGTTTGTTCAAATCTTTTGCCCTACTAAAACTCTTTTTTACTACATTAAACATTAATGGGCCAAGATTCGTTTTTAAAAACCCCATAGGACAGTTTTACTCAACACATGGGGTCACCATGAGTCAATTATGCCCTAGAGACCACAAAGCAAATCTTCACAGACCAAAAAGAATTGATATACAGATTTGATATCATCATCTGATCACAGTATGACAACAGAAATCAAAATAAAAAGACATATTTAAGGGGATTTCCAAGCAACTTTTCAAATAATTAATGAGCCAAACAAAAATAGTACAATAAATTTAGAATCAGATAATAGTGAAAACACTAAAAATGAGGGATGTAACTAGAAATGTTGTTTGTTGTTAAGTGCCTTCAAGTCAGTTCTGATTCATAGCGATCCTGCTTAGGGTTTCAGAGGCTTTAAAAAATCTTTGTGTGAGCAAAAAACCTCATCTTTCTTCTGCAACAGCAACAACTAACAGTGTAGTTACCAAGAATAAATTAATTGTAAAATGTACGAAATAGAATCTAAAAATGCTAAAAATCAATTAACTAAACAGCCATTCAAGATGCTATAAAAAGAAAAAGGGAATTAAACCAAAGAAAGTAATATTTTACCTGAAAGGATCAATAAAATAGATTGGAGAACGTTATTAAGAAAAAAAAAAGGCAGAGGACAAATGAAAGAATCTTAGCAGTGTAAAGCAGAGTAAATCTATAGATAGAGATGAAATCAGCTGTGGGATTAGAACCCAGGTTCTTCCATTTGTCAGCCTTATGATCTGTGGGTTTCAGTTTGTTCATATGAAAAACAGAAATAACATTTACTCATTGTATAGTCACAATGGACACCCAACCAGTATAAAATTTCTTCCTCCTCTCCATTTTCCTTAGTCATTCTGAAGAGCATGATGTGAGATTGGTGAATTATCTTCTATATAGAGTCATATTCTCTACAATCATGAATAAGCAACAATTGACCCCAACTTGTTTTAAGATATATTCTTACCTGCCAAAACACATCCTTAAATATATAAAAATCCATGTCCAAAGCAGCCAAAAATATAATTATAGGTAAAAAATAACAATAAAGTGCAAAACTTGGTGTGGTTAGAAGAGGATATATGAGCTTGTGAATCTAAAGTAACAAAGACAAGAAAGGTAGTTGGTTGCCATTTTGAAGTATTAGAAATTTGGATAATGTTATTTCAATTAATTTTTTTTTTAACTTTAGAGTATTTCTATCTTCAACTAACGAGATTTTCTACAAGGCCAGGCCTGATGATCCAGTGGTAGATTTCTTAGGCTAACCATCTAGACAGTCTATAAGAGTAGTCCTTGATTTACCAGAGAATTGTGCTACTTGGGGCTGTACAACATTGCTTGTGGTAAGTCATCGGTGTTTACAAAGTGGTTTTCTATCACTGATGATTGCTAAGATGATTTTAGTACTTCACAGATAAGTGCTTTTTAAAAATATATATATATATATATAATTTGTTAGAGATTTATTTTCATGTGCATGGCAGGGTTGGTAGAAGTACTTTGCACAGATAATTGTAATTTCACAGACGTTATTGCTTCCAAAAGAAAGAATCAAACAAACAAATCCACTGGACTTGAGTCCATTCTGACTCATACCCACCCTACAGGACAGAGTAGAACCGCTCTGCACCATTTCCAAGGCTCCACATATTCACAAAAGTGGACTGTCTCATCTTTCTGTCAGTGGGTTCAAACTGCTGACCTTTCCATTTACAGATCAGCAATTAACCACTCTGGGATTTTTAAATCTCTAAGTGAGTCACTTGTGGTGCTGTAGGATAAGCACTGGACAGCAAGGTAGTTTAAACTGCAAGCTTGGCAGTTAAAATTAATCAGTCACTCCTCCGAAACACACTATACAGGGTCACTATGAGTAGGGGCCAACTTGACAACACTTAACAAAAGCAATAACAAGTGAGTCATACAGAGAAGAGTAATGCGTAAATAATAGTTGTTGTTGCCATTGAGTTGGTTCCTACCCATAGCGATCCTGTATAGGGTTTCTGAGGAGCTACTGGTTGGCTTGAACCGCCGACCTTGCAGTTCAAATGGCTTTCAAATCATGAAGGTTGCACACAGATGAATGGAAAATACAACAGTTATTGAATCTTTTTAAATAGCCCCTCTTAATAAATTTATTTTGACCCAGTCAATAATTTAAGCTTCTTTGCTTAACCTCTCTGTGTCTCAATTTTCTCCTCTGCAAAATGGAGTAAGGGAATAGCATCCTTACTCCATTGGACTGTTGTGAGATGAATAAACTAACTCAAAAGTTAATAAGATAATAAATTAACAAATGTCAAGCACTTAAAAGGGAGTATATTAAAAATGTGTTCGCTAATATAAGGACTCCTAGAGTGGCACTGTGGGTGAATGTGCTGGACTGCAAAGTCGGTTTGAACCACAAGGTCAATGGTTCAAGCTCACCAGCCACTTCTCAGAAACCCTATACAGGGTCACTAGGAGTCAGAAACGACTGGCATGGCACTTAGCAATACAACAATACCTTCAGAGCTTTTGTTGGAAGATGAAAGGAGAAAGATGAGGCTTTCTGCTCCTGTAAAGATTTATAGCCCCGGAAACCCTATTGGGGTCGCTGTGAGTCAAACAACTCCACAGCACACCACCACCACCAGATAAATGCAAAGCCTTACCTTCCTTTAAAAAAAAAAAAGGAATGAGCAGAGGTTAATCATTATTGACCACATTGCAATGCATTTGAAATCAAGAGCTAGCAAGAAATAAGTATACATTTTCTTGTATGTTGTTGAGTGCCATCGAGTCGATTACGACCCATAGCGACTCTGTATAGGGTTTCCAAGGAGCAGCTGGTGAACTTGAACCGCCGACCTTGCGGCTCAAACGGCTTTGCAGTCTGGCGCATTAACCCACAGTGCCACACCAGGACTCCTTTCATGTATATATACAATAAATAAAAGCAAATTTTCTTATACCTATATAATACTTATGTGATGTATATTTACATTTAATCAGGCAGGCAGTAAGAAAAGAATCACCATGCCTCATCATGGAAATCACTATTATCTTTTATAACTAGAGTCTAGACAGGTATTGGAGTCCTGGTGTGGCGCTGTGAGTTAATGCGCTGGATTGCAAAGTCAGTTTGAACCGCAAGATCGGCGGTTCAAGCTCACCAGCTGCTCCTCAGAAACCCTATGCAGGGTCGCTATGGGTTGGAAACGACTCGATGGCACTTAACAACAACAACTACAGGTATTAAGAGAGCTGCAGGGAAGGAGCCAGTAGATATATGCATGTTGGAGGCTGGGGTGGGAGGTTGGGTTGAAAGAAAAGAGCAAGGTTCTGAGAAGAACCTAAGAATGAAATCAAAATTTCCTCACTATCAAATTAGTGCTTTCTTTTAGGCGTCTCAATTATATGTCTCCTTCATTGGATGGTTTCTCATTTTCTACATTTTTAACAGCAGATGAAATGTTTTGAGTTTCTGTTCATATTTTTTAAATCTATACACTCAGGGGTGAGAGTAGAAATGGATCTTGTTATGAGTCTTTGTCCTTTCATTTATTCTCTAATTTATTGTATATACAGTACCTTAACAAACCTGTAGGCCAGTTGTCCTAGTACAAAGCCTAATAGAGAAAGAATTGACAAGACTATGACTTCAGAATTCTTTATACCTGTCTTCAAAAATCCTAAAGAAAGACATTTATTTGTTACTTAGACATAATTTATAGTTTTAAAGCACTTTTATCAACATTGTTTTAGTGTTTCATTTTAAACTTTTCATCACATTATTTGTTGTTGTTGTTGTGAAGTGCCATCGAATCTATTTCAACCCATAGTGACCCTGTATGGGGTTTCCAAGGTGCAGCTGGTGAACTTGAACCACCGACCTTGCAGTTCAAACGACTTTGCATTCTGATGCATGCATTAGCCCACAGTGCCACACCAGGGCTCCATCATATTATTATGGATGACTAATTGACTCCTGGTGTGGGTTCAGCACTGGACTGCGAACCGCAAGCTCAGCAGTTAAAACCCATTAGCAACTCCTTGTATACCCTATACAGGGTCACTATGAGTTGGAACCAACTTGATGGCAATTAACAACAACAACTGACAGCTATCGATGTGACGCTATATGATAAGCACTAGACTGCTAACCACAAGGTTACCAGTTCAAACCCAGCAGCCACTCCTTGGAAATCCTATATAGGGTCTCTATGAGTCAGAACCAACTCTATGGAACTTAACAATCTTGACAGAAGTAGAATGCCACACCTTTCTCCCATAGAGCTGCTGGTGGATTCAAACTGCTGACCTTTCAATTAGCAGCTGCTCATATTAACCACTGTGGCACCAGTGCTCCTATATGTACTATTTTCCTTAAAGCCAGAAATATTTTTAACTGAGACCCTACCATAAGGAAAAACTAAATTCACCAAGCAAACAACAAAAGACACTTGTTATTCTCTCCCCATAAGCATGTTTTATCTTGAAATGCTGTTGTATCCAAGATTATTCAATTCATTCCTCCGGGTGTGGCACTGTGGGTTAATGCGCTAGACTGCAAAGTCAGTTCGAAATGTAAGACTGGCAGTTCAAGCTCACCAGTTGCTCCTTGGAAACCCCATACAAGGTTGCTATGGGTCAGAACTGACTCAACAACGCTTAACAACAATAACAAGAGGCAATCTATAGGCTATAAGCCAACTAATTTATGCCTGGGACAGAAGTCACTGGCAACCTGTCCTCTCGCTTTCGGCTATAGGTTATGGCAAACCAGTAAATATTTATTTACATATACTTCATATGTGTAAGATCAAGTGTTCTGCAAATGATTTTTTGCAATGATCTTTCCTGGTGGAGTACTTTGTAACCACGAAGGATCTAGAGCTAGTGAAGTTTTTGGTGGACAGCATGGTCATTGTTGTTGTTGTCAGATGCCATCAAGTCGGAACCGACTCATAGCAACCCCATGCACAGCAGAACGAAACAATGTCTGATCCTGGGCCAACCTCACTACCGCTGCCACACTT